CTCACTCTGGTATGTGACTCTGCTCCAGGACCGATCACTATGGACCTTACAGGTAGGCACAGGGTCTGTCCTTGGTCACAAAGGGGAACAAGCAAAGGCCCTGGCATGCTTTAAGTTAAAAGGAAGTTTGTCCTTGGGATGTTACAGTGGGTTTTAGAGGAACTCTGAGGGCATCTTAGCCTTATTTCTTACTTTAAGGTATCCACATATGAATAAAAAAGAAGGAGATGTAACACAGGAAAATATCAAGGGTCTTTTTCTTCAATTAGACTGCTCTAGGTGCTCCTGGGTTTCTGGGTTTCTTCTGCCATCTCTGCTTACTTCCTTTCAGTGAGACCTCACAAGCACAAGGGATGTGCATGCATTCGGCAACAGGCTGTTTTGAAACTTCACAATCAAGCAATACTGCAGTTCCGGCTCCTTAGGACATGGGGAGAGAACCAGGCTTCACCTTATATGGGCTTTTCTGAAGAGAGAGGAAGCTGGGCCCAGAGAGGCAGAGAGGCTTCCTGTTCAACCAAAACCACGCAGATCCCTGCAGAGCCCAGGCAGCCTTCCAAGCTGGGCAGGAGCTGTGAAACACGCTCCACTCACCCAAGCCAGGGCTAGGCATGGATGGAAGCATGCACACACTCCTGCAGATGCCCAACAACAAGTCTATGCGTAAACATCTTTATTTATATGTGCCCAGACCTGTGTTAGTTTAGGAATTATCTTCAGAGATGTGGGCACAGACACCTAGGTACAGCCAGGCATTTCTGTGTATTTGGTCTCATGGTGCAATTGCTTATACAGACCTCCGTGTACTCATTTTGCAGGTGTTGCCATCCTTCAAACAGATGCTCACCTCCAACACCAATCCCAGCCCCGTTCTCTCCCCCATGCATGGTCTCTCCTCTCTGTGACAACTTTAGCTAATGGCTTGATCCTCTCCTTACAGGTGACCTTGAAGCACTCAAGAAAGAGACCTTTGTATTAAAGGAAGGAGTGGAATACAGAGTTAAAATCCACTTCAGAGTGAGTTGTCTTCCTTCCTGTTGCTTCTCATCAGTTGCTGAAGCCAGTCAGCAGCAGTCTATCAGATAACTAGTGCCAGGCAGCATGCCTGCCAAGTAGGTGGGCCCTTGTAAAGCTCTCCTAGCTTCAGGTGTTGTTCTACCCAACAAGGGAGCAGCTGTTTCCAGGGAATTACCTCTGTTTGCTTGCCCCTTGGAGGAAATTGATTTCTGTCCACTCACACTGGTGAACAATAGGTGGTTTGAAAGCCAGATGGGTAGTTTTGGCTGAGTTTGGTTTGGCTTTTTAGCCACCAGAAAACCTTTACTTCACACAAAGTGGAAATGGACAGGGAGGAGAAGACAAGAGATAATGGCTTTTCATGAACGGCTTGTTCAGTCGGTATTACTGGGCTTCATGTACACATTAAAAGGATTTTTAATATTGTAACATCTGGCTGAAGATAGCTGAGTTCTTCTGAGTCATGCTATACCCAAACAGGCTCATTTCTTCCTCTTTTCCCATTAACCAGTGTGTCAGCCATTTCTTATGTTTGCAGCTAAAAACAAAATTTGGCCACGTTGTAGCGTGGCATCCAGCACTGAGCTGATCATCTCCACAGATGTTTGTTTCAGACAAAGCTAGGCTTAGCAGAGAAGACAAAAATGGAAGGAAGGTAGTTCTGAGGCAGACAAAGGAAGGTGTTAATATTTTGGATTCTGTAGGGCAGATTTCCCTTCTTCTCTGAGGGTTGCTTTCTCAGAGGAGACACCTCCTCCTCTCTTTTTGCTATGAAATGTTTCCATCTGTATCTGAGCCCTGTTGACAGGAGATATCTGGAGCCAGACAGGTTATTGTAACTCCCTCTGTCCCATGGTTGGTAAGAGCTGGCATCATGTGAATTCTCCCCTGTGATATAAAAGGATCTGTCCATCTTGTTTTCAGATTAAGTAGTGTACACTGCAAGAAGGCAGTGTATGCTGGAAGGGAACAGCAAAGAATACATCCAAGCTATTGATGGGAGATTTGAGGAATAATTATGACCAAAACTGTGTCCCTCTGTCTCTTGAGGAGAAACTTGCCAGCTCCCTATGGACCTTAGAGGACAGCTGGCAGTGCTCAGCTAATCTTGCCCACCCATTTGTATTGGAGGGATGACTAGTTACCCACATCTGGTTTTCAATATGAAAATTGTTAACTGGGAAATCCCTGCTTCATTTTTCTTTGTCCTCATCAGCCTGTCTTGAGAACATGACTGATGTGCTCCAGTCAGCTTCAAAGTCAGGCAAAGGATGGAGAAGTGCAGGAGATGCACAGAGGATGCTGTTGGTCTCCAGGTGCCCATGGAAAAGTTGTATTAGTGCTCTCTCCAATGTGTCCTGTTCTGAGCCTCCCTGCTATAGGGAGTCAAGATGGGTATGTCTCTAATGAGAGAGAAAATCAGCAGATACAGAACCAAAACCCTTCTCTTGAAGCTTATTTCTGGTCATTTCTTGCAGGTAAACAGGGACATTGTGTCAGGACTGAAATATGTGCAGCACACCTACCGGACAGGGGTGAAGGGTGAGTAAGAGTCCTCCATGCCCTGCACACCAGTGCTCCTACCTCTGTGTTCCCTCTGCTCAAAGAAGTATTCCTGCAGCTCTTGGCTGGGACAGAGGCTCCCTTGGTCCCAAGTCCCTCCCTGCACTGCCATGCAGGAAGTGACTTCTCAGCAGGGTGCATAAGCCTCTGTTAGCCAGGGCAATTGTTTCTTGCCCCTTGTGAACTCAGTATGAGCCAGCTCTGCTATCTGTATGCTACACTATCTGCAGCAGCAAAGTCTGCACAGACTCTGCTTAGACAGTGCTTGTCTCAGATTTCTTCTCCATATGAGCTCTTCACCTCCCCTCCACCTCCCCTCCTCCCCCTATAGAGTGGCTCAGCCTGTGTGAAGCTTCCCATCCCCTGAAAGCTCTTCAGAAGCACTTGGTAAAATTTAGACCTGCTCTACAAAGCTTCCTGCTGTGTGCAGGGTCCTGTATTTGCCGATGAGTTCTCCTCCTTGTGTAGCGCTGGTCTGCTTGGACAAGGCAGAGGAAAGCCCCATTTTGCACACACACATCCTACAGGCATTTTTGCATGTAACCACTTCTAAGGCTTCAGCATCCTGTTCAGCAACAATAAATAAGTGGTGTCTTCTCACCAGGAAAGAGAAGTAATGGGGAATCAAGGTAGACCTTGAGCCATATGCTGTGTGTACTCACTCCCTTCTAGCAGCACATAGATGTGACAGGGTATAGACTGAGTTGCCTGTTCACCTGCCCATCCACCCATCTGATCCTTTCAGCTGTCCTCATGCTTCACTAACTCACTGTTTCCACCAATTCTGCTCCCCTTTGCTGACATGGACTGTCCCTTTCTCTCTCATCTCCTCTCTGTCTGTGATCTGCACTTACGCTCATGGCTTCTTCTCTCTTTACCATTCTCCATCTGAGGGACTCATCCCCTGTGGATTGTTTTCTCCTAGTGGACAAAGCCACGTTCATGGTTGGCAGCTATGGGCCGCGGCCAGAGGAGTATGAGTTCCTGACACCTATTGAAGAGGCTCCTAAGGGTATGCTGGCTCGAGGCACCTATCACAACAAATCCTTCTTCACGGATGATGACAAGCATGACCATCTCACCTGGGAGTGGAACCTGTCCATCAAGAAGGAATGGACAGAATAAGTTCACCCAGTTTGCCTTCCCCCTTCCCGTCCCCTTGCCTCCTGCACCAGTCTCCAGGTGGGCCATGCCCACCACGCTGCTCCTTCCTGCCACCACGGCTGGCCACAGCCTTGGCAGCCCTTCACATGAGTGCTGGGGCTCTGTGCCAGCCTTGGTTGATGCATAGCCCTGCAGGCGGCCTTTGCTGCTTCTTCTGATACACTGAAAACAACCCAACCCCACTCACCACCGCCCCATCATGACACATAATGGGTTAAATTGGGAAGAATCTCCCTCCCTCTCTCCCAATACTTCTTCCTGTTGCCACCATCCCTCCTGTACCAACTCCGGTCCCGGAAGTGCCTTTTCTAGGAAACAAGATCACCTGGCAGGGCAGACTAGTCCCTGGAAAATCCCTATCTTGAGTTACACTTGCCATTGTGCTCTGACTCATTGTAAATGGTTACTTACCTCCCGTGATGGTCTCCTGGTCTGTATCTGGTGCCCTACCCTGTTAAAATCCATCCTTGTGCAGGCAAAACCAGTCAGGGGGAATGCAGCTAGTTGCTGTAATAAGACTTCGGTGTCCCAAGAATAAAACCAGTTTCTTTCTTCCTTTTTGCGTGAGTGTAACTTCTTTTCTAGAGCATGTTTTTCACTGATATGTATATGAAGAATGCATTATAGGAAGGCTTAAGAGCATATTTCAGCAGGGAAATAGTCCTCCTCCTTCAAAACATCAGCCTTACACTGTAAGCAAATTATTTCAGAACTCTTTCCTTCAGGGATTTCATGAATCCTTTGAAGCCCAAAGTCTGGTCTGTGATTAGGAGTAGACTCCAGGGTTAGACAGGCCCCACCTCTCATCCCAGATGGAAACTTGAATGAGCCAGGGAGCTATAAAATAGCCTTCTCATATTTAACACCTACCGTAGCAGCTGTTCCCCAGAGCTAACGCAAGAGCTGCATGTCCCTGTGGCTGGCCTGCTGGGACACAGCACTTGGAGAGGGTTGTTCTTACCCAGCTGGGGTGCCCGGTCACAAAGGTGTGGGGCAGCCGAGATGTCCAGTGCTGTGGGTGAGGACGCACCAGCAGCAGTGCCAGGGAAGCTCTCCAAGGCTGGTGCCCACACAGCAGGGAGGGGCTTTCTCCAGCCAGGCGGTTATCCCAGGAGCGAAAGGTTTTGCCCTGGGCCAGCTGCTCCTTTCCCACTAACCCCAGGAGTGGCTGTGGGCCCCTGTAGCAGCTGACGTGTCTCTTGCTGAGGGGAGGACCAGAGCAGGGTGGCATGGCGAGGAGAAAACAAGCTGGTACGATGGGCATGTTCGTCTTCCCGTGTCTCTTTGTAATCCTACTTACTACATGCTCCCCATCTGGATGTGCTGGAGATGTTGACTCTGCATCCCACAGTAAGTGAGCTTTCTTCCAGGCTCAGGGAAACACTGGGTCTGCTGCAAGGAATCCTCCTTCTCCAAGGTATGCTGCACAAACATTGTGTGGAGCTTGCAGGAGAGGTGTTTGGGTGAGCTTGTAAGGTTGGGATGCTTGTGTGTATGTTGGGGGAGCCTCTTTGAGCTGCTCTTGGTGTACCCTCTGCCCAACCCTGATCTTTCCTCTCCAGGCACATCCAGCACCACAAAGAAACCCATCCTGTTAAACAACATTGCAGATGCTGAAGCCTTTGTCAGTGGTGCAGAGGTGGCGGTCATCGGATTCTTCCAGGTGTGTTCACAGCACCTCCCCTCTGCCAGTTGTGATCCCTACCCCACACTGATGACAGTCTGGGGCTGGATGTGGTGTAAACACCTGTCAAAGGCAGCTATTGTCCCGAAAGGTGCTGGAGCTGTGACAGGCACGTGGAGGGATTAGGTGAAAGGCATTCTCTCTCATGAAGAGAATACGGGAACTTGGCCTCTGTGTGGAAAGGGAAATGGAGCAAGGGAGGAAGGTGAGGAAGGTGAAGGAGGTTGCAGGAGCCTTGGAGCAGGAGAAAGGGAAATGCTGCAGGGGGAAGCAAAGCAGGAATGTGGGTAGCATAGAAACAGTGTTGGTAAGAGGTGAGTGTGAACAACAGTTTTTTGCTGTAGTCAGCAAAGACAGAGTAAGGCACTGCCTGTGTGATGGGGCTGAGGAAGCTGTCTTGGAGCAGTGTTGGTGTGGGTCCTCTGAAGTCCAAGATGGCTTGGGCTCAGGCTACGGCCTCCTCCTAGGGAGGGTGAAGGCATGATCTTTGTCTCACTGCTTTGTTCCCCAGCGTTGATATCCTTCAGATCTCTGTCTCTTTTTTTATCTAAATTCAATTGAATTCAAAGGTGAGTCAAGGGTACAAGCCCCTTGCCCCCAAAACAGCATGCATATTTTTCCTCAGGAAATAAAACAAAATTATTTACTGAGTTAGAGCACTCCAAAACAGAGGCCTCTTTGACAGGATCCTTATTACTTTTAAGGTCCTCAAACTGCACCTTTTTCTGCCTTTTCTTTGAGCTCTGCTCTTCTGCTGCCCACATACTGCCTCATGCCAGAGAAGACTTGAGGCTTTAAAAAAAACCTACTTCTGCAAGCGCCTTCCTATTTCTGCCCTGTGCCAGAGGACAGCTCTGCTCTGGAGGGCAACTAGGAAGGGCATCATGCCCTCGGAATAGGGCACTGGCATCTCACATCCCAGCACAGAGTGAGGACGGATAGTGCTGCCTGTGCACTGTAAGCAGCAACAAGTGTGTGAGTGCTGGAGGCTTATGCCCCAGGGGTCTTATAAGCACTGATCACAGAGCACCAGCTGCCTCGAGTTCAGTGCCTGCAGGCATTTGGAGCTCCTTGGGGGTTGCTCTTGCAGCGCTAAAGCTGTGCAAACCAGCGAGGCAATCTGCACACGCAGAATGAAAGTGCTGAGACGCCTACTTCCCCCAGGGTAGCTTGTGACAGGGCTGTACCCAGAGCCTCCTCCTGAGCTACAGCAGGGACATGGCTTCTTTTGTCTTGTGCCACGGTGACCTCCCTCCCGCTGCAGGGTTTTATTCTTCAGAGCCAGACAGGAGGCTGCTGCCGTGCGGGCCCAGCTGCCAGGAGCATGAGGCTGCAGCCGCCAGGGACGTGTCGGGCATTCAATGCCTGAAGCACGACAGAGCTGCATTTGAACAGCAGATAAAGACGTATGTGTACCGTGAGGGCTTGGCCCTCTGCCTGAGGGTATATTCATCCAAATAATGTCCATGTTCTCTGTTCACCATAAATTATTTCTCTGCTGCAGCCTTTCAATTCACTGCAGTACGCGGCTCGGCAAGCTTCCCGTATAATGAGCATGGCCTCCCTGACTGGGAACAGCATGCCATGGTGGAAAAACAGCACACTGCTCCAAAAACCCTGCGTGTCTGCGAGAAAGGGCCATGCTTGGCCTCATTAAACCCCAGCTTTCCCAGGAATGCTCCAAAACTCTGTGAGATTATTCCCACCCTCGGCTTTAGCGCTCTTACCAGAGCAGTGTTGATGTGCTGGCATTTCCAAAACAGGTCGCGAGAGATGATTTTCTTTGGAATGAACAAAGAATTTTGTTTTCCATTCTCTCTGGGCTCACAAACAGCTGAGCTGACAGTTCAAACTAAAAAGAAAAACAAACCAATTTCCAAGCAGAGACCGTGTCTTGAGAATTTATGTCCAATAATAAAAATACATGACTGAAAAGTTGGGAATAGGAATAGCAAGGGAGGCTTTAATGTAGGCTAGGGCTGTAGTTAATGCTCTCACTGCAAGAAAGAGAATGGACCTCAAATTGCTGAGAAATTGCACATTTCTATCCTTTGATATATCTGAATTAGCTACTTTTGAAAGGTTATATTTAAGATATCTTTTAAAAGGAGACAGGATACCGATAATGCAAGGCATTCAAAAAATTGTAAACACCTGACTCTAGAACCAAGGTTAGCTTAAAAACTATGGGGGTTATATATTTATTTTATGCACACACACACAGACACACACACATATATATATATAAAATTAAATGCGCTACATCCAGATTCTGGGTTTGTCCTCTTCCCTTTGAGAGCCCAAGGGCTCTGCACCACCCTGGTGTGTTCACCGTGAGCGTGGGCAGCGAGGTTTGGGAGGAACGCGGGGCAGGGCGCACACCCTGCCACAATTACCCGCCGGCCGTAGCTCGGGTCGGAGGGGCGCTGGGCACCGCCGCCTGCTGACGGTCCCGGCCGAGCGCGGCCGTGGCTCGGCGGGGCGGGGGGGGCTGTGCGTGGGTCTCCGTGCCGGCCGTGGTGCCCGCGGCGGGCGGCAGGGGTCGCCCCCGCGCCGCTCAGGCGGCGCTGCCGGGGGGTCCCCGCGGCGGCTCCGCTCGTCACCGCCCGCCCCTTCACTGCCCTCCCTTCTGCCCCCGCAGGAACCGGAGAGCGCCGAAGCGTCGCAGTTTCGCCTGGCGGCCGGACGGATCCCGGAGGTGCCCTTCGGCCTCAGCACCAGCCCCGCCGTCCTGTCCCACTACGGCGTCTCGGCGAACACCGTCACGCTGTTCCGCAGGGTGCGTGGGCACCGCGGCGTGGCGTGGGGCGGGGGGCACACACAACCACGAGCAGCTCCCGGGGAACGCGCTGCCAGGCAAAAAACTGTATCTCCAGCGTGAGCACTCTGGGTCCCACTTACGGTGGCGTGGGTGAGAGGGGCTCCAAGACAAGCACTTTCAACTTGCCCGCAGTCACGGTACAGAAAGGAGATCTCTGGGAAGCAGTGGTAAAAACTTTGAAGCTTCTCACCTGTCCTTAGACCAAGCCAAAAAAAAAAAAAAAAAAAAAGGGTTGTTATTGGCAGTCAGGCTGCCTGCCCACCTCAAAGCACATCGGTATAGCTTCCTGCCCCAAAGAGGGCTTTTGCTTTTTGTTTGCAGAGTGCCCGTCACTGAGACATGGAACATTTATCGTATCTGATGAGATTTGGCTTTTAAGTGTTTGCCCTATGGATCTGGTTCAGCACCCAGTGCTCTGCAAAGAGCAGTGTCTGTGTTTCTGCATGACCTGCTTGGAGCTTGGCATTAACTTGGATGGGGTTTCCATAGTTTTGGAAAGTGTCTTGAGACATATGAAAGGTGTCTAGACTCCATGTTACAGTGGATCAACATATCAGGCTTGATATCAAATCTTGCCAAGTGTCACTTCAGACAGGCAAAGCTGCCTCCCAGCATACAGAACTTTTCCATCATGACTGAAAACAGATCCAGCTGGGTCTCTGCAGTTACAGATGCTCTGCTACCAAAAGAAATCCCAAATGCTCTTTTCTGTCTCCTACACTGTGGTTTGCAGACTTATTCCCTAAATAAGCTTTGGTCATGGAGCCATTAGAAACGTCACTTTGGAGTTTCTTAGGTATGGAGACTGTGCAAGATCAAATTTTTGTTGACTCCACTGTACGTGCGGGTGCCTCCCTGTAGCTATGTTTGCTGAAATTTAAACATATGATACTGGAAATGGCCGTGTACTTACTTCAAGAATGCTAAGAAAAGCTAAGAGCAAACGTTCTACTGGTTATATCAGTTTCCTTGTGTTGCCCCTTTTCACACAAGTATGGCACTTGAGGAGAGTGTATCTGAAGAGGAAAGGGGCCCCAAGTAGCACAAGAAGTCCTAAGAACCAGTGAAGTGTTGTGTCACCAGAGCTCTAAGTGCATGGGGTGGGGAGAAATGGGGAAACACTACATGTTCTAGGGAAACTAAATATGTCAGCTTGGCCATGTTCTAGATCCAGGCTGTACAAAGATTGGACAGTTTGTTCTCTGTTCTTTCGCATCATTTCCTGCACTGTGTTTACCACTGACATTATCCAAATAATTCAAGAAGAATGATCTAAGAGTGAGCAATAGGTGGGCAGCTCCTTTTATTTAACCATTTATTTGCTATGTGTAGATGTTGCAATTTCAAAGCAACACCCTTTTCAGTTTTGGTTTTTAGTCATGGTGGTTTTCTTCCAAAAGTACTGAAAACATCCTTTGTTTTTGTGCTGTGGCAGATAGTGAGGATGACTGCATTGGGAGAGTGTTTGATAAAAGAAAGTGTTTGGATTCTTGGAATTTGGATTATATTGAATACTCTTTGTTTGGAATCCAGCTTTTGTGACTGAACTCTTGTTTAATAGGGGAAAAAAACCAGCCAGGAAAATAATACACTAGTCAGGTTTAAGTGTGGTTGACAATTCACTTGTCTGATTGTCAGTTTTTCTTAAATTATCAGACTTATTTTTTCATTTCATCCTGTGTTGGATAATGTGTAGGAGTTAGCGGTCAGAGATAAAAAGGAATTTTAAAAGAATGGGTACAGGAACTTGGAATCAAATACTCATTTGAAGAATACAAAGATGCGTGACCAGGACAGAAGTGAATCAGAGGCGTAAATTAATTTTTTCTTTGCCTTTGCAGAGTACGAAACACTTATAATGCTTTGAAGTTTAAACCATAATTACAGGAGTAGGAGGGACTGCTGTCAACTGGTGAGACTTCTCTGCATATAGTGTAAGGAAACTGATTTATTCTAGTGAGGAATCTGGCCTGATGGACCTAAAAAGAACATAATTAACAGATGCTAACAACCTAATTATATGGAGTGATAAAGACATTTTGACTACAGCTTCAACTATTAGATGCAGGCTATTTTCCATCCTTATTTAATTAAGAACATAAATGTTGGGTGCAGATTCAAGATGTTTTTATCCCAAAATGGAAATCAAATGTTTTCAGAAGGCCATGAAAGTCAAGAAAAGACTTTCTGTAGAGTCCAGGGTGCTTTAGATTGGTTCCCAAGGCCTGTCTGATTTCACCTGCCCAGGTGTTCCTCTGTCCTGATGTTACTTACTTAAGCAGAACTACAATTTCATTTTATGCAGGAGGAAAATCTAATGGAGCAATCAGGCCATACAGTCTGAAAAGCACTAGCTTGGGTTGTCAGACAGGATAGGTGATTGGTATAAAAAGCCTTGCCAGTGACCACAGAACAGCAAGAATTACTTTAGATGTCTGCACCTCACAGGAAAAACTAACACAGGCACTTTCAGAGGTTGCACAGATGCGGGGAGTAAAATCTGGAGAGTGCATGTGGGCCACTCCTTAGCCCCAAGAACCTCATTCAACATATGTATCAATGGCTATCAAATCCCAAACTTTGATCCTATTTCATGCCAGGGCCCAGTGGCTTAATTCAGTCACATCCTGTGCTGGTACTGCACAGGAATTCTGCCCTAAACTCAGTTGGTTTAGCTATCATTCAATGGTTGCCTGCTTGTTTTCTGTTTACCAGGTCATAAAACCTCAATAAAATCACATAATTTTGGGGAAAAGGAGTGTGGGGAGGTATGTGGCAGGATGGATTTTCCTCTAAAGCTAAAATGTGCTGGGCTTGATTCCCCCCCCGCTATACTGTAAGAAAAATCCTCTTTTTATTGGAGAGATTTCTTACTTGCACAGTGTTTCCAGGAATTCCATACAGGTCCATGCCAATGTTTATTACTTGTAGAAAAAACAGAATAAGCAGATGAAGACTTTTTAAAAGGGATGTAAAGCCAAAATCGATGTGAGGAGTTAGGCTATTTAATGACCCTTTTCCACAATACCTAGAGTACTTTGTCAGCTAATTCTCCCTGTCTCCAGTGCAGCAGAAGCTGATACTGTAGGGATGGCTGGAGTCCTAAGTGATTTCTATTTTGTGAGTTTGCCCTGTACTTGGGACACTGAAAAAGGGTAGAGGATCTTAAAGTGCAGGCTGGCCTCTGTAGGTTCTAGACCTCCAGAAGTGGTGGTGGTGAGAACTGGGAATTATGTCGTGATGGAGAGAGGATGGCAATGTCCCAGAGGTTGTGTGTGTCTGTGTGTAGTGGTGTGAGTGCCATCAGTGCCTCTGGAAGGGGTGCTGAGGTGAGAGGACAGCTGTGACTGTAGGTGTCTTTGCATGTCTTCAGGTAGACAATGACCGGAGGGATCTGGATATGAACAACAGAGAAGTTGATACTGAGAAGATGACTCGTTTCGTTCGGATGAATGAGCTCCGCCTGGTGACAGAGTACAATCCTGTGGTAATTACCAGCTCCCTGCAGCGCTCACCTTTGCACTTGACCTTCCTGTGTGTGTCCCTGGGCCCAAGAGTTTGCATACCCACGTGTGTGTGAGGGTGGATGGGGTTGAGGGAGCCATGCAGCTCTTTACTGCTACACCATATCTGCCTGGAAGCAGATGCTTTGCTGGGGTGTGTGAGTGGGGTGGGAGAGGAAGGGAGTCATGGCTGTTCCTTTAGCTTTCCAGGAAATTTGGGATGCTGTTGGGCAGAGAGCTCCATTTCTTACCACTCCTGCAGGCAGTGCTGCTTCCTCACATGGACATTTGCCATGTTGTGCCATGCCTGCAGACCCAGCTGAACCAGAATCTGCTCTCTTTGGCTTAGAAGCCTTGACAAACATGGAAACTCAAATGACACAGTCTCAGAAGGAAGGCTTTTCTTCATCACTCACTGGACAGGGTTTGATGTAAGCCTAGATATTTGACTGCATATTCAAGAGTAGGTTGGGATCTTCCCAAGCAAAATTTTTCCCATCCCCTCCATTCCTTATTCCAGAATTCATCTGTTTAACAACAACAACCACCCTCCCTGCCTCCCCCTCCCCCCACCTCCCCCACAGTCAGGCTTAGGATGCTTCCATGTTGGCCATCTTCACTGGCTCACCTATCTGACTGGCACTGGCAGGGTCACAGTGCTCTTCCCTGCTGTAGAGGGTGACCGAGGATTTAGGCTCCTCTGAAATCTCAGCAATTCACTGGGCTCACTGCTGTGTGGTCAGTAGGTCTTAGAAGCCCCATTGGCTGCAAGGCTGAGAGTTTATCATTGCTGATGGCATATTTTGTGGCCTTCTGGATAGCTATAATAGTGCTGACCAGGCCCATTTTAATCGAAGGAGAATGGCCCAACCTGTTTCAGAGCTATACCTTTCAAGTTGATCCCAAGGATCATCTAAGAGAACTGACACAATCCCCATTTCAGTCACAGCCTGCAACTAGGAGAGTTTTTTTTCTTGGAAAATATAAAATTTTTGTTTCCACAATGAAATACTGTTGAAGTTTGTCTTTTTTCTTTAATAAAAAAATGCCCAAAACAAAACAAAAAACCAGCAACAACAAAAAAAAGAAAACAAAAAACCCCAAATGAAACAAAAAACCCAAACAAAACCAAAAAACCCAAACCAAAACAACCCCCAAAGAAGTGGATTTGTTTTCTCATCTTCATAAGGGATGTGAAAAATGCATTTTAAAATAACAAAATATTTCTGGGAACTGCGATATCCTGCCTCACTCTCCTCACAGCCCTTTGAGAGCACCCAGGTCACGTCAGCAGGGATGTTCTTGCTAGCTCTGTAATTGCCCAGGCCTTCTTAACTTTTGGAACCTCCATTGCATCCTTTTGCAACTCATTAGATCATAGCTCTTTCTTCACGCGTTTCTGCTGATGCTTTGGGTTCTCACCACATGATGTCCTGTTTGGCACCCAGGCTGTGTCCCTCACCAAGAAGTCCTGAGCTGTTCAGCTGGTCCCCTCCACCCTGACTGTCAGTACACAAGTTGTTAGGTTTTTTTTCTGGGCACTCTGGAGTGCTATCAAGGTGATGCAATTAACAGTGCCTCCTGCAGTCTCTGGCCCAAAGCCCTCCTAGCTCCCCTAAGGTAGCTTGTTTTTTTGTAAATATTTATTCCCAGTGCATATGCTGTTTGCATCCAAGAATGCTGCTGGTCAGCAGAGGATGGGGTCACGTGGATTGCACTGAGTGCTGCCAGGAGTTTCTCTCCCCACCCTGGGGCCCTTAGTGTTTCTCCTCCATACTTGAGGCATTTTTAGGCAATGCTTACCCTGTGGGCTTACCAGGAGAGTCAGATGTGACCTGACCATGTTGATGGGCTCTGCTGATTGCTCTTGCACAAAGTTGTGTGGACAAGCACACCTTTGTGTGGAGCTGCTGGAGGAACTGCTGCTGCAGCCCTATCCACTCACAGCCCAGCCTTGTAATGGCCCTTGGTGCTGGCTGACTTCACCTTCACCTTCCCCCTTGTCCTCTCCCCTGAGGTTCTCTAATGTTCTCCAGCCTTAGTTTGCATCTCTTTTACTCTCCCCTGCCTCAGCTGTGCACCACCAGAGAAGTGAAGGGATACAAAATGTCTGATAAACATTAGGCTAACAGCAGAATCTCATCTGCCAAAAATTAGATGCTCTGTAGTGCACTGCCTTTGCCAGCATGCACTCCCTGACCCCTTCCTTGTTACTCCTGGAGCCTGTGGAAACTTTCTGCTCCCGCTGGCTGGGAGCTGTACAGTCTGTGCCTCTGTGGTTTCGGTGGCACGGGGGAGGCAGCAGGTCTGGCCTGGATAGTGTTTAACTTGAGGGAGAGGCTGCAGGGCTGCAGGAAGCAGACAGAAGTGAGATGATGAGTGAGTTCATCGAGATGGTGTGGTGGCTTCTTGGGCAGTGCCAGCCCTGTCTCCTCACAGAGGGCCAGTGTGTATTGCCTGCAGGCTCCAGGTCTTCTCTCACTGAGGCACTGCCAAGGCAATTTTAACCCTCAGCACTCTGGAGTGCCCACGCCCTGGGGTTGCTGAAACTCTGGACTGATTCTCATGCTATGCACAACCTAACACTAAAGAAAGGAAGGAAGAGGAGACACCGACCTTGACACAACAAATCCTTCCCACTTTCTTGCTCCCATTTCAGCTGGATGCTGAACCTCAGTGATTTAGAGCACCCTTATATCCACTGTTTCCTGACCTTTGCTCTCCACATCCGTGCTCTAGTCGTCAGTTTGCTTTATATAGGCAGTCCCCCTGCCTAATCACTATCTTAAGGACAGTGGTGAACCCTTGTCAACCTCAGATACTCATCTTAGGAACAAGCAAAGTCAGGGAGTTGAGTGCTTCAACGAAGAACCCAGATTGGAACCCTCCTGCTCATGATGCTGATTTGCAAAGAAATCTCAGCCAAGTCAGGAGGACTGATGTCCCTCTGACACTGCATCCACTACAAGTTGAATGTTCTCAATCTCCTTGTCTGTGTGTGTTTTTCTCTCTGTGCTGGGCAGACAGCAATAGGTGTGATGCAGAGTTCGCTCCAGTTCAACCTCCTCCTGATCACAGACAAGATGTCTCCAAAGCATCCTGAGCGAATGCGCAAGTTTCGGGCCTCAGCAGAGCTCTTCAAGGGAAAGGTGAGTCTAAGCAGAGAGAAAGAGGAGCCGTTAGGGAGAAAACATTACAGTAATTTCTGCCATGAATGGGGAGGGCATAATCTCCTCTGTGCATTATGAGAGCAAAGGTCAAGTAGCAAAAAAAGAAGATTAGATGGGTAATTAAGTGGAGGGGTTGTTTCTGTTCACCTTTTGCCAGTTTGCCTCCCTTTGGGGAAAATATCCTCTCTATCCTGCTCCTCTGCTCTCTTGGTGGAACACTGTGTATTTCATTGCTTCTGGTCCAGTTTTGTTCCCTTGTACTGGAAGATGACAAACAGCTGCTCTACTTCAGTCTGGCAACGGTTGCATTCCATTGATGTGAGAGATTAATTTGTATATACAGCATGCAAGATGCCAAGGAGCCTTATATAAGTGATCAGATAACAAATAATGTCAGTGCTTCTTAACCCTTAGACTTCTGGTTGGATCCTGGGGAAATGGCTATTTTAAAGGAGTTGGAAGTGAGTTTCTTGGATTTTCCACACTGAGGTGATGAGATAGATGGGGTGTTTGAGAGAAATTTTGCTTAGTTCCCATCCCTTGTGTACAGAGCTCCCCAAACAGTAAATCAACCCATGGCTGATTCTCTGCCAGGCAGCTGGATTACAGGGGAATTTGTGGCTGGGGAACAGAGGAGTGAATTGGCAAGAAAAGGAGAATTCAGAGCAACAGGAAGGCATTTGGGGCAGTTGGGAGTAGGCAGAAGATCCCAGCAGTGGGGACGACTGAACTGAGAGGCAGGAAGAGATCTTCCTCTGAGAAGTGTGGAGCTGGAAAGAGTTGGAGTTTGATAACTAGAACATCTGCATGCCTCTGTTTTTGGCACTAAAGGGACAGATTTGAAATCAAGTATATCCAAACTTCAAATTCTGGGGCCCTCTCAGGACTGTGCACTCCCAAAAGTCTTGAGACACGTTTATGCCCGTTTATGCTGCTTTGGACCTTGCCATCTTCCCTACCCACTGGCAAGAGACTAGGCAGAAAGTGTGCATCAAAGTCAAAAGGTTCCTTCGGAAGTGTTTTGCTTTGATGAGTATGTCGTGATAAAACCCCTTCATTTATCTGAAAAATTCTATTCATCTCATGTGAGATGTGTGTTATATTAACACTATTATCACTGTCCTTCATGAGCAGCAGAGTCTGATACTGGTCTCCCCCAAGTAGCTAGGTCTTCTAACAAATTGCTGTTTAGCACTGCTCTCCTTTGCTGATGCAGCTGCATCTAGTTTTCTTGTGATACGCCTAGATCTGAGAAAATGGGAATAATTTTCCTAGAAATACTTCAAAAAACATTGTATAAAATGTTGTACTGAAGTCCAGATAGTTTATGAATTTTCAGCAAGCCAAATCTTTTTATTTTGTTTGTGCGGGCACGTTTCCCACCAAATCAGTCTAGAAGTTCACCAGGGTAAAATATAAAGAATAAAGATGTGGGAATTTGACTAATTATTTCCGCTTTACTGCAGTGTTACTGCAGGACACAGAGATGAAGAGATTTAGAGTCTAATAAGTTGTTTTTTCCCGAAGGAATGGCACTCTTAGAAAACAACAAGAGAGAGCTAGGATCTCTCTGTTTGGCTTTTAGATCTGGACAGCAAGGAGTAAGCAGGGTCGTATGCCCATTTAGGTTTGTCTCCATTGTTCTGTCATGTATTTCAAACATGAATTAGTTTGGGTATCAGAAGCAGCCACTGCATAATACCATGATAATCTCTGCTAGCTAATTTTCCTAAATGGAGTTATCTATTGTCAGGACTACCAAGTTAACTGAGGTTTGCTTAAAACAAGTAAAGAATTGAATATATTTTGCCTCTTTGTGGCTTGTAGATTGTCTGAGAATTAATGCAAGATTCTTGACTTGAATTTTATTAGGGATTACCAGTGAATAATTCATATCCTGTGGGATAGTGGTGGAAGGCTTGCTTGTGCTGCAGGGTTAGTGCTGTCAGTAGTTTGAGCAAGGAATTATTGCTGTGCAGTGGAGAGATGTTCGAGCTCCCTGTGAGTATGTGCCACTGCATCCAGCAGCACTTTACAGCCAGGGTGCCAGAACAGAGTGGGGCTGCTTGGTGTGCTTTGCAATTTCTCTACAGGCCAGTGCAAAACACAAACAGAGCCTCGAGAGGATTCCAAAGCAGGAGAAGGGGTACCTATCCTGTCACACATCCCTGTTGCACTCTGATGGAAGAATAGTCCTTGCCATTGTGATCACCAGTGGGAGGGAAAAGAGAAACTTGTTGCTCAGATTGATGGAGAGGTGAAGAGGAACTTCTGCTGCTGCTGAGTGGCTGACCTCAAATAATGAAGAAAATCATGGAATCATTTTGGTTGGAAAAGACTCTGAAGATCAAGTCCAACCAATAATGGATCACGAAGAAGTGATTCACCTGCCAGTTCCTGGATTATGGACCTTTCATCTCTGCTTTATGATCTTCTCGTTCTTGTCTGAGAAGAGGCTGAGATTTTCAGCTGGAGGAGACATGAGGCTGTATGGTGAGGTCTGTTATTTGGAAACAGCCTGAACTGCATGCTGAGCAGCAGTGAGTGCCTGAAGGCAGTCTAGATTCCTTTAGATTTTATTGTGGAACCTGGGTGCTATAAAACGCTGGAGAGGAAAAAGCAAATGGTAGAAGATGCTAAGCCAGCATAAACTGACAGCAATAAGAAGAAATTGCAGACATTGAGAAACTGTTGTGGGTGGATAACAGACAACAAAGTTCAGAGCACTGCAGCTGCAGGAGTGAATCCACCAGCCCTCTTAGACGGATCAAATATGTGCTTATTTAAGAAAGTACTGCCAAGAGTCCAGGTTTTCTACTGGAAAGGAAATGTCAGGGTTTGCATTGCTGGGCCAAACTAGCATAATAATTTTCAGTTTTCTTTCCACAGGATCAGAGTAAAACATCATAATTACAGCTGGTGTATCTCATGGATGTTAGCAGAAGTCTCAATAAGATGATGTTGGGAATAACAAAAGCAGCTTTTGCTGCAACTGATGCAACTGGTTTCCAATGTGAAAATGTTTTTGGGTAGAGATGTTTGCAAATCTCCCTTTTAATTTATGTGTAGATCCATTTAGAAATGGGTTCTGAGAAACTCCTGAGTGTCCTTCAGGACTTCTTCCTTGGAAATGAAAGGATGATGCCCTTTCTCTTACAGTCATCTTCCAACAGTCATTCATACACTTTTTATTTTTCTTATCAGACATTGCTGGCTCCAGAACTACCTCTTTAACCATAAAGAGAGGAGCCTATAAATATGGATTTTCTATGTTACTTAATAGATATCTGCAGTAAAGTTGTTTTTACAGCTTGCTTTTTTTTTTTTTTTTTTTTTTTTTTTTTTTTTTTTTTTTTTTTTTTTTTTTTTTTTTTTTTTTTTTTTTTTTTTTTTTTTTTTTTCAAATTCAGGACCGAGGTTCTACTTTTGCTTTGATATACTTTATAAGCTATGTAAGACATTACTCAAACTTCAGAATTTGATCTTTTTGCTTATACAGTCTCCTCAAAGAATGAAGACTGCAGTTCTCTGAAGTTCAAAGTCAAACACTGGATATGAAGCTTGATCATCCTTCCTGTTTGTCTTTGTTAGAGGCAAAACTAAGCAATGTTAGATTGGCTATTACCATTGCAGTGCTATTTTCAATTAACTCTAATTCCTTGGGCAATAACATCATTCCGTATCTTAGTATTTACTAGGAACTCGATGTTCTAAAAGTACTGGGCTAGGAATCAAATTGTGAAGACACCAAAACAGCATCAGCATACAAATTTTCTGAAAGAGAGCTTATTGCAGGTGACAGTGCACAGATAATATCATGTGTGGAGTAGATGGTTCGTGTCAGGAGTTCGTCATCCATGCAGGATATCCTTCATTGCCTGTAGCAGAAGATCTCTGAAGTAGGACAAGAAGATTGCTATAAAATGAAACAATATCATGGAAATCACTTCAGAATCAAAAAACCTCAACCAGCTTTTATACAGTAGAGTATGAAATGGAAAATGAACCTTCTGTTTGGGATGGAACTAACTCATTTCTAGTAATGATAAGAGAGTTGCCATTCTAAATGGTTAATTGTTTTGGTGAATTATAGCTTTGGTGAGTCATCTGTGCAAAGGTTTTAGGCTCTTTTCAGCACTGATTGAGAAGAACAACCATATCTTCCCTTCTAAAATAGGTGGAATAAAGTGCCTGTCACTGTTTATCGTAGAGGTTACCTAGATGACTGACTGAGACAAGACTAGGATCTGGATGGCAGAGATTGGACAATATGAATCTTGTCTCATGGTCATTATAATTTTCCATGATCATTGCATTTATTCCTTATGAATAGAGATGGATGGGAATCTTAGAACAAAATAAATTCCTCAGTTTGTGTGTTTCCATTTGCTTCTGTAAAAAAGAAGGTATTTGAAATTCTAAACGCCAACCTTTTAATTCTTTAATTCTTATTCTATTCTTTGTTTTCATGTTTTCAGCTTTTTAGTTTTTGGGGTCTTTAACAAAGACTGGAAACTTGATAAAGTGAAGAATATAGTGAATACCATTTATTTATATTACTATTTTTAAATGCTATTCATCTGTTTTATGGGTTTTATAGGTGAAGGAGGTTTTGTATAGAAAGTGACACCATTTATGAACCTAAGTATTCTAAATGCCTTTTTTTAATAACCTCTTGTTTAACATTTGATTGAAAAAATACGGTTGCTAATGAATCTTTCACAGAGAACCTCAAAAGTTTGTGAATGAAATGCTGAAAATGTGGTGCCATTCCCTGTAACAACCCCCTTAAAATGCTTCCTCTCCAGCAATGGCTTCTCTTTACTTTAAGTACTGCTGTTCCATCTGAAAACCACTTGGCTCAAGTCCTTAGACCTGTGAACCTCAAATTCGTGACCATTCTTTAGTTTGATGTTTTATCCTGCAAAAAAGATGAATAAAGCACTCTAGAAGAAGTTCCCAACAACCTGTCTGATCACTAGCTTGTTTCCCTTGGGGCACAGTTGGCTTTTGGAAGAGAAATTGCAAGTGGTAAATATCACATATCCAGTGCAAGTATTGTTCCTGTTTCTGTATCTCTCTCTATAACTGCAGTTAAACCTTATAGTAGCCTAACTATCCTTCCTTTACATAGGTTGTTGCCTAGGAAAGTTTCCAGATTTTTTTTTTTTTAATAGAACATAAATTTAATAAAATAAAGAATTGGAGATTTACCAAGTTTATTTTTAGAGAAGAAAACAAGTTTTGAACTGACTTGAGTGTTCTTCATTGAATTGATAGAAAAACATGAGTCACAGCCTGGGAACGAGGCACATCATCTTCACATTACATTACTTTTCTTTTATTAAACTCTCCTTCTTTCTTCTGTCAGTCAAGTCATAGCCTTTTCCATAAGTACATTGAATATGCTAGCCCAATAGACTGCACAGGATGAAAAGGAAATAAAATGACACATGCTAGCTGGGTGTTTATTTCATTAACTTGGATCTCAACTGCTGAAGGATTCTATTTAATCAGATCACTGATTAAATTGTTTCTTGATGAATTTATTTTCTTTCATAAAATTTATACATAATGTTTGTATCTAGTATGAATAGATAATTTAACAAAGATTTTTGAGATAGCTGTATTTTTTTATTGGTAATATTTCAGATTCCATAATTTTAAGTTTGTGCCAATTTCTACTGCACCTCTACTATCTAGGTTGAAACCTAGCTTTTAAACTGAAATCATGGAGCTGGTCACCAATTATGGCAAATTTGTACTATTGAATCATCCCAGAATAATCTTAATCCTTGGCTTGATCTTGTTCTCCAGGACTATCTAGGAGCAGAGAAAACTGTAAGTCATTCTCATCCTGGCTTATTCGTTGTTGGGCTTCTCTCCCCAGGTCTGAACAACCCTTCACTGAGTTGGGCTGTATGGACATTGGTGTCTTGTCAGCAACTTCTGTTTCCCACATGATGGCATCTTCATTTATGTTCACTGCAGCTCACTTAAATACGTTTTTTGTGTTTGGTACTTTCATCTTCTTATCCTTGCTGCCCTGCACTTCACTCCCACATTTTTGCAATTGAGTTTCATTCTTCACACACCAAAACATTTTCTGCCGCTTTTGGTCTTGCATGTATGTGAGCACTTATCCAAATAACTTGCAAGTAGAAGAGTCAACTTCTTTGACATGTGCTGCTAAGACATCTTATTTCCTCATCTGTTAAGGGAATAGAAGTGGAAACTGCCTTCCTCTCATACTGTAGATATATTTTTGAGGAAGGTGAAAGAAGACATTTTGGTTGGTAGTGTAAGTCTGGACTTGATAAAATACAGAAAAATGCACTGCATGAAGCTGCTAGATTGTGGCAGAGGAAAGTATTGTTCTAACAGAGACAGTTTTCTCAAACTCTCTATAAAAAAAATCACTGTTAATCTTCATATGATCACTGTTTGGGGATCTGTTCTCTCTCTCACCTTCTGTTTTTCTCACATTTCCTTCCCTGTTTCCATCACAGATTCTCTTTATCCTGTTAGACATCAATTTGAACGGCAATGAACGAGTAGTGTCATACTTCCAGCTGAAGAAGTCCCAGCTGCCTGCTCTGGCTATATTCCACACACCAGATGATGAGCATGATGTGATGACTGTGGATGAAATCTCCACTGAGCGTGTGCAGGACTTCTGTAATCGTTTCATACAAAGAATGAAGAAGGTGGGTCCTGTATGGGAAACAGATCTTGTAGGATGATGCTGTTGTTCACAAGGCTCTTGAAGAAGATGACTTCAGTTCCTTGAACTCCTTCCCATCCCTGCCACCTTCACTTTCATATACATTTTCACCTGAATATAGGTAAAACATTAGATCCAGGGCAGAACGGAGATGGATATCTTTGTAGAGTCTCTTTCTTCATCTACAACAAGAAGACTTCACTGACCTCTGAAGGTTTCTGTGAAGCATCTATCATATAGGAACAGCAGCTGGGGAGACAAAGTGAAGGGTGCTTTTGGATGCTGAGAATGGGATGGTGGATGGCAGCATATGAGAGCGGGTGAGAGAAACAATGGCGTGGGTAGGAATGAAATCTATCAGGAAGGCTACAGAACAGGGTATACAGATGGAGGCTTAGGACTCTAGTAGAGGTCTCTGCTGGGAGAGGGACAATTTAATCTCCATGTCCATTCAGTGTTAAGACTTTTCTCTGTTAAAATTAGCACAGAGGTTTTGTGTTGTGAAGTTGAAATGAGATAGGGCAGTGGCACAGACAGCAGAGGGAGGCATTTGAGTTATTTTCCTTTTATCACTGTACTGAGAAACTGAGTAATGTCAAAACTGATTTCTTGCCCCTAATGTGCTTTAGAAAGAAGACGAATCTGAGAAGCCCCTCAATGAGGAACTCTGATTCTTTCTCAGCCAACAGGATGACTGTGCCCAGAGTAATCTGTGGTGTATGAAGAGTTCACTTCACCCTGCAGCTCGACAATTCCTGAGCCAAGTTGGTCATATATTCCCATCACCATTCTATGTATATATATGCTATCTGTCCTCTCCAGAAATCTCTTCTCTCTTCTCATTCATTGGCTCCAGTTCACTTCTTTTCAGTACTCCAGTACCTCTAGTATTGCCTTACAATGTGTGCTTCCATGCCACTCTGTTGGAACAAAGAGTGGCCTAGCAAAATGGCAATATCAGAGGTAAAGCTAGTAGTTCCCAAGGATCTGTTTCCCTCATTCTCTTAGCTTTTGATGATATGGTGGGATCCACTGTCAGCCTTTCCAGACACTACAAACAGATTGGTTGCTTGATGTCACATGAACTTTTCCATTTATTTTACTAAATAAAGCAGAAAGTGAATAGCCTGAATTTTTACTCAAATATGTTATTTCTCACTCGTCTTTCATTTGAGGATGAAGTCTCTGTATTTATGAGTAAGCTCAAAAAATCTACTTTCTCTGAGTTTAACTTAGGCTTGTAATGCCTAACCAGTGAGGTTGGCTGCTAAAAATCATTCCCCATGGAACTGGGCCTATCATCAATAGATAATTCTGCCAGGATGAGAGATTTCTAGGAAAGTTTGGGATCAGAATAGCATTGGGTACAGCAGCTCTGAGATGGTGCAGCAGAAAGGAACAAGCCTAAGATGTTGCAGAAGGGCAGTAGAAAGTTTCCTTGCAAGACGGGATATTCCACGCTACATTGGAGGGAAAGGCTAATGTCTGTGTATTGACCTCAAATATTCCTCAGAGGTCACAGTACTGGTATATAGGGAGTGGGGACTTTGCAGGTGAGGTGTATGAGCCATCCTTGTTCTGCTGTACTAGATGCATGCAGTAGGCTTGCCTCATACTTTGGCGTGAAGTATGGATGCTTCTGTCAAATAGTGACTGCAGTGTCTCTCAAGGCTTGAGAGACTAGGCCTGGGACAGGGAGTTCTAAGAGGGGTAGAGCTGAGAAACCTCAGCCCTTTCTCAGAGATTAGGCCAATGTGAAGAACTGAGAACAGAAAGAAGTTGTTCTTGCATATGAAGGAAACACAGGTCCCCAAGGCAGAGGGAGAAGTCAGGAGTTGGAAGGGATGCCAAGTAACTTCCCAACACTGTGATTGCCACAGCAGGGAGGCAAGTGCCGTGTTAGCTCTTGTGTCTTCCACTTGGATGATTCATTTAGCTATAACATCCTGATTCTTTCTTTAGGCTGGTAAAAGTGGAAGTACATGCCTTCAGCCCATGAAATTGTTTTACTTAGTTGTCCCCTGTTCTGAGCAGCCATTTCACAACCTTCTGTCACTAGCATGTAGTCCCAGACGTGGAGATGTCACTATCATCAGCTGGAGCCAGAAGGCCATAAAGTTTGACCCATAGATGTAATATTCATATAACAACTGAGCAAACTCACACCTGCATTCCAGAATCCCCATGTCGGTGGTGTATGATGATTTTGAATTCCTGGTTTTGTACCAGTCCTGGAACATGCAGGGCTGTATCTCCTGCCAAGAATCCTGTTCACTTTCCCTCAGTTGGAAAACTACTGCTTTTTATGGCTATAGTTTGTTCCTCCCTGGGAAGGGTTATATTCCTTTCTCTGCAGTATGGTAAAGAGGGAAGATCTTGTGCGGAAACATCTGCAAGGAGTCCTGGCGTTGTAGATGTTTCCAGTGTCATGCACGTCTGTGGTCCAGACCAAACAGCGTGGGGGGACTGGCCTGTTGCACAGGTGTCTGAGGTACATGTCTTGGCCCTGTGTAAACACAACAGCTGCAAGAATTGGGCACAGCGACGTGACTCTTCCTCAGTGCTAGAGGGAAAAAAAACCAGGACATGAATGAAGCTCTGGTTCTGCAAACAAGCCTGGGAGTAAGAGCAGTGTCCCCAGTGACTGTGTTTGCTGTGTACACAGCTAATTATAGAGATAATTTTTCAGGAGCTTCATTAGGTACACTGGGGAGTTTAATTCCCTCTGCACCTTGCAGAACTCTGCACCTAGCTGAGAACCTTGGGAGCCACAAGGACACCACAGGAAAGGCCTCCTCCTCCTCCTCCAGCTGTTCTGTGTAGACTTGCACAGCATGGACAGCCCTAGAGTACTGCACATAGGATGCCCTGGGCACAGATGTGGTGGTAGTGTAGTCACCTTAATCCCTGTGCTCAAAGGCTTCTACAGTGCAACTTTGGTGGGCTTAACCACTGCAATGGGCCATTTGAGGGAGAAAACAGAGGCACAATGATGTGGACGGGACAATCTCTTCTTTGTTGTTTCATTTTATTTGTTTGTTTGTTTGTGGTTTTTTGTTTGTTGGGTTTTTTTTTTTTTGTTTTTTTTGGTCCAGTTGTGTTATCTCTGACTTGTATTTGTGGTGTACATGGCCCAGATGTTTTGAGCTGTCTGGGGAGGCTGGTTTGGTTTTCAGTGGGAGGAATTGCTAGATGCACACTGACAGAGGGCAGGATAAGGAGGCTCCCTTTCCCCTCAGTATTGTGTGAGAGCCTCAGCTCTGCAGCTTCACCTGCATTCAAGGGACATTCAAAATACCTAAGAAAACAGCTGAGTCTGCCTAACAGCAAAGTGAGGCTGCAGAGGCATGTGAGTCTTCACCCCAGGGAACAGGGAATTGGGTTGCACTGTGGATGACGCAACTTCACATTCATCTTTGCTGAGAAAGGATTTGAACGCCTCCAGAAGCAGAATATTACAAAGAGGTTCAGCTAGAGCACTAACATTTTTGTGTTTTATTCCCCTGAACTGCTGTGTGTGACATAAAATAAGTAAATGTTGCTTAGAGGTGAGGGGTGGGTCCCAGTGGTGCTCCCCACTCCTACACTCCCCAGACAGAAACCAGCTGCCAGGTCCTAGTGGAACCATTCGGCTCTCTTGGGCAGTTCCCTTTGGCACTTGCAAATGCCCTTGAGATGCAGATGTTTATGTTACAGCCCTCTCCTCAGCATTTCCTACTGATTGGCAGGCTGTTTCCCTGTGAAGTATTCAGATTTCATCAGCACCTCTTCTGGATATACACATCCCTCAGGAGTCTGCTGGGTCATGTATGTCAGCAGGCAGCAAGGGACCTGAGAGATGAGTTGGTGCTGAGAATTGCTGCTCTTCTGTCCCAAGATGCACAGAAATTGTCCCGGGGTCCAACAGAGAGTTCAGCTCTCTGTTGCTTTATTCCTCTCTTTTCCAGCATACATACACTGCCAGCTTCATATAAATCATATTCAACATCAGCTTGAGCAAGGTTATTTGGGGAAGAGGGGCTTAAACAGGATACATGTGGTGCATCAACTGTTTGCTGCCATCTCTGCTCGCTCCTGTGCTTCAGCATAGAATTTTTCTCCCTTTTGTGTAGTGTGGGCCCAAACCAAAGTCTGAACATTGCTGAATACAAGGGGTTTAGACCTCTGAACTAGCCCCCATCTGCTGCAGGTTGAACCAAGACTTTCAATATGAACATGTTTGCCCTCAGCTCCAGTCCCACTTCACACAGAGTTCTGGATCTGGCTGTGAGTGTCTACTGAGCTGCAGGGAATCTGTCTGACAGGAGAAGGACCACAACAACCTTTGCACCTACACTGAAGAAGAGAAGTGGGCACTGGTTTCTGTACATTGTCTGGTCAGCATTGTTCCTGCTCTTGAAAGTAGCTGGGAGATGCTGAGAGCCCTCTGACTGCCAGCATGAAGGGAAGAGACATCTCCCAGGGCATGTATCCCTCCTCCCTTATGCATGCAGAAAACAACCACCAACACAAGGCAGGACTAAACCTTCTTCCTTTCTTCTAGGGACTCTGCTAGGCACCAGAGCCCTGCCAATTTTAAATAAAAAATTTTAAAATCTCTCTTCTATTTACTGAAATACTTGTCACAGCATGAACTCTATGGTGATGAAGTCAGATCCCATCTCATGCACATAACTCCAACACTGAGCTGGGCCTGAGTTCCCAGGAGTGGGAGGAAATAGGGGTGATTTAGTGCAAGATATGGTAGGAACTGTTGTCCTTATAATAAAAGGAGGAAGAACTTGACTGTTTGACACCTCTGTTTACAGAATTACAGAATGGGTAAGGTTGGAAGGGAGCACAGTGGATCTGATCCAACCTCCCTGCTCAGGCAGGGTCATCCTAGAGCACATGGCACAGGATTGCATCCAAAGAGTTCTTGGATATCTCTAGCGAGGGAGACTCCACAACCTCTCTGGGCAATCTCTTTGAGTGTGTGGCAACCTGCACAGTGAAGAAGTTCTTCCTTATACTGAGGTATAAGGAACTTCCTGTGCACCGGTTTCTGCCTATTGCCTCTTGTCCTATTGCTTGGCACCACCAAGAAGAGCCTGGCCCTGCTCTCTTGATACCCTCCCTTCAGATACTTACAGACATGGATGAGGTTCCCTCTCAATCATCTCTTTTCAAGGCTGAATAGGTCCAGCTCCCTCAGCCTTTCCTCATTAAGAAAGATGCTCCAGTCCCCTAATCATCTTTGTTGCCCTCTGCTGGACCTGTTCCAGGAGATCCATTTCTCTCTTGTACTGCTGAGCCCACTGGAGTTTGTCTGGAAGGAAGTTGAACCAGTAAATCTGGGTAGCAATATTAGAAACAAATCCTCTCTTGCTGGTGGACAGATCACAGGGCTTAGGCATGCTGCACCTTCGGACAGGATGGGTTCCTCTCAGTACCACTAATGGCAGCCCACGGGCTGGCAAAGAAATTGGGACTGTTGACACAGGCGGAGGAAATATTGTCTGAAGGATTCAACTGGGGAAGTGGTTTGCAGGACCGTGAAAGAGGAGGGTAACGAAGAACCAGAGGCTGATCTGAGAGAAGTAAAAGACTTGCCCAAGGGGGGATGTGGCCAGCAACAGGTAAGGGTCAGTGAGGTAAGGTGCTGGACTGGTACCACAGAGAACTGATAGTGATGAAGAAGAGAACACAGAAGTGTTTTTCCTAGGGCTATGAATCAAATACCTCTTTGACCCATTTTGGCTCAGTCACTAAGGAAACTTCAGAGGAACATTCTCAGTGGAAAAATCTGCAAAACCACAAGATGCACATTGAATAAGAGAGTTCTTGTTCCCCCATTTGAATTTTTCCCTTCTCTTGTAATGTACCTAAATCCAGGCCGGCAGGTTAGTTCCATGATCTGTAAAGCAGCATATTTTTTCAGGTTAGAGGAAAGGCACATGGATAACTGCATCTCTGCCTGCACCAGGCCTCCACATATGGCGACTGTGCAGAGTTGCCCGCTGTATCACAGCTGCAAATGGCACTGTGTTCTCCTCCCCACACGTTCCCCAGGGCTCAGGCTGTTGAATCCTCCGTGGATCCCAGCAGCCCCTGCAGAACCCCATATCCTGTCCACATACAGGTTGAAAAGTCAGACCCTTCCAC